CGCTTCCATGCATCGTGATCTGGTCACGGATATTCCGGCAGCGGTTAACATATGTGTTTGCTTTCTCCCCGTGCCCCATCTTTGTCTCCATGAGTTGCTGCAGGAGCCTGCTAGAGGTGACTGGGTCTTTCGGCTGATAAACTTCAACGAGGTGCTTTCAGGCTTCCAGGGCTGGAGCGGCGCTCTCTTTGTAGGAGCGAATGCCGAGTTGTTCCGCAGGCGTCGTATTGCGTAGCAGCACACTATACGCCATGAGGGACTCACTGTAGTACTGAGCCCTGGCGTCCTCGGTGTCTTCAACGGTTTAGCGTAGGAGCCGTCGAAATAATGGTAGATCTGCGCTGTCTGTAGGAGGAGCTCAAGCTCAAAACTCAATGTGTAGAAGTCATTGCCGTCAAACGCGGCAGCGGTCTTTATTTTTTAAACACTGAGGAAATGTGCTTGCGCAAAATTGATAGCTTCATCACTTGGATGGGGGGCAGTTGTTGTTGGTTTGTCTGTGTCGAGGGAGAAGGTGTGCGCGGCGGTATCACGGCTTTTCGCAGCTTGTTGTCCATGTCAAACTGGTTGGGAAGAGGTTACCGCATCGCCTTTGCGCAGCTCTTGGAGATCTTTCTCCATAGTTGAGAGTCGCGAAAATAACTGCTCGAGTGCGTTAGTGCGGATTGTAGCTGTTGCCTCATTTGTCGCAGTCGGGTTGGTTTAGCATTCGACCGTTAGATTCGCTTGGCCTCCGGATCCTCCGGCCATCTTGGTCTTGGAGCGTGTGCCGCTCGCCAGCTCTTGATTCGGCGAGTTTTACGGAAGTGAAGTTGCGAAGAATCCCTGGGTAGCTCTCATACCATGTTACAATCCCAAGTGGGACTTAGCGAATGATCGCTCAGGGTTGATCGCAGAGTAGTGTTGCAGCGGAAGTGTTGACATCGGGTCAGAGTGAATGTAAATGAATGAGATGATAATAGCATGCATATATCGGGCTTATATAGGAATACAAAGGAATACAGAAAGACATAGACTAGCCATGTACTCTAAGGGGTACATTACCTCATTACAGCGAATTCAAACCGTGTGGCGCGGAAACCCGCCTCAAACCTGTTCCATCTTTTTTTACTTCAAATGTTTCTGCATGCATCGGTATTGGTCAGACGGTTGCTTTGTCGTTTCGGCTCCTCTGACTACTCGTTAGAGTCGGCTCCTGCAGCATAAAAGAATCTGTTCTCATGAAGTTTCATATCGGAACACTTCCTACCAGAATGAATCGTATGAGTGTAACAAGGCATTGTTTCTGGATCAAGATGCTAATGCTTATTCAATTATAATGCATGGCTAATATTCTATGAGAGACTATGCTTTTATGTAGCCCTTAGTGCGATATCTGCGAGCGTTTAATTCTGATTTAAGATAGAGTGGCAAATGTTCTAGCTTGTTTGTAGGCAGAAGAATTTGGATATTCGACTGTAATCTGCTCCGAAGTGGTGCCTACAGCGAGTTGGGCGATATTGGCTGGAGAGAGCGGGAAAAGGGGATGGGGTGGGGGTGGTGCAATTCCGCAAAGCTGTGTGTGTTCCCCCCTCCGCCCCCTTGCCCCATTTCCGACTTCGCTTCAGCGCGACACTACCATATTCTCTCGCGATCCAATCGAAGACCCAGGTGGCACAAGGCACTTCACCGCGGCTTTCAATTTTTTCTCGTCACAGGTCTGCCTTGATGACGACATCCACGTGACAGGGATCAAGGGCTTGGAGTTGGTGCTGGATGTGGGAGTGGGGTGGGAGATAAACCGACGTGTGTTCCCTCCCCACCACCACCCCCGATCCTCCCACGCTGTCCTTTTATTGCGTGCCCGTTCCTCTTGCAATCCCATGTGAGCCAGAACAGGTTTTCCAGCTGCCGTGATCAAGCAAAACGCGGCTCGGATCTTCGACTTGAGGTTGAGGGTTGATGCAGGAATGTTCAATCGTCGGAATTGAATCATGGTTTGACACGCGAGGTTCTGGCATCGTGGAGCACAGAAACAAAGTCTCGTCAAATCAAAGGAGTCCCGTTGTGGACTTGGATTCTATGCAGGATTGGATATTGATTTTTGGATTTCTTGGTCATTATCCGCATCAATCCCGGATCAATGCTACACGATATCCATCAAGAAGCTTGATCGCCTTTCGGAATTTATGCTTTCATCGCACAGTTGCCAGCAGACCCCGTCATGCCACACATCGGGAAGTCCCATAAACATGAACAGCTGCTGGAAAGGAATGGTACAATCCATTCTCACATTTGTCAATCTGTATGCAGCAATAAAACGTAAATGAAAAAATTGAAGATCTATAGCATGAATCATGTTTTCTAATATTTATGTATCATCACAGTGATTTATATTCAAAACGGAATCATCTCTAGCATTTGATGGAAAATCATTTAACATATTTGTGATATTTATGTTTTTTTTTGTTTTTCATTCAATTCAACCATATTTCCTTGATAATAGATCTTATTTCTCAGGAATGAATAAACGGAAACCAGATCGTCTATAAGCAAATTATATATAATTGAAGGGTGAAAATATTGATGTTAAATAGGGAGTCACGTGAGGAAACTTCAGAATCATTCATTTATTTCACAGGAGCTTAAACGTATATATAACAAGTGAGTCGTCTGAACAGAAACAGCTGTTTCTGAAACTAGACAGTTGACCCAGCTCCTCGTTGCCGGACAACATGTACACCTTGTTTCGCGCTACACTGTCAATGGCTATACTGACTGATCGGATGTACACACATCAGTGCGTCCAGGATGGTCCATGCACATACGATATTAGCACGTTTTCCCGCACTCAACCGTTCCCAAAAGCAAATTGTTTTTTGTAAACCGTTGTGTACCGTTCACCAGGAGTCCATTTGCCCGTCACGATCTGGAGTTCGGCTGTAAGCACGAGACCGCTACGTTCCAAGCAACAGTACACACTGTAGCCTGTGAATCTCATTGTCAATGTAGCGCGAAAACAGTGTAGTGCTTGATGCAGTATAGCACAGTACTATTCGTTATCTATTCCAACATTTGATTTGGTTCCAGTGTGATGCTTCATTTATGTATTAAAGGCCCGAAGGCACGACGCAGCATCATTGAGGGAAGTGGATACAGTGCAGCATCATTCAGCGTAGCGTATTCTGGGCAGCGGGGATTGAGAGGCCAAGCACTTCTGGAGCGAGTGCGCAATATCCTCCCTCCCAACCATCCCTTTTCTTCCCTCTCCCGCTCATGCAGTTTTGCGAGACGGTTGTGCACCAATGTGGGTGATGCCTGACAACAGACGAGATGACGGCTGCCACCGCGAGAAAATACCTTTTAGACACGTCATGAGACGTGAATTCATGATTATTATCCAGTAGTGGACCCTTCACGTGAATGACGGAAAAGTTGGACTAGGATGTCAGCAAGCACTCCCTGTCAGTTCTCTCAATTCGTTTGGGGCTACCCTTTCATTTGGCAGGGTGACATTCAAACGAGCACGGCAGGTGGGTCAGCAACCCAAATCCAGCACGGTATATTCAAAACTGTGCAAAAATTGCTCTAAAATGGTCCCCTACAATGCGGTACAATGTCATTTTCACCGCTCAGGTCTCTTTGCCCATGCCCCGTCAGTCTGGCCAAGTCCAGTGAAAGAACCGAATACGACACTTCGGACCGTACGCACTGTAACTTCGTAGCCCTGTGAGTACTGTAGGTCTCTGATTGGCCACCCTGTCAACTGCCCAACGCGTTTGCCAAGGCACGACAGCTGGCTGGTGGTGACCTCGTCTCGGCTGGGAAGAGGAATTCGAGCCTGGCAAAAGCAGATATCGTTCGTGGAGTGCTGGCAGCAAACGTGGGTGTGTTCCTTCGTGCAGTTGTTCGCAGAAATGATTTGACGCTTGCGGGCTGTTTTGGAACCTGCAATGTGAAATGTGGAGGTTTTCACGCTAGGGCGCAATTCATCACCGTATCCAAGGAATACGACAGAATGTGAGAAAGGGGTCTCGTACGCCTCGTCGTTCATTTTTAGAGAGCGACCTTTCAGATGGGTATGGTTCGCCAAGCTTTTTAAATAGCCAAAGGCTCTCTAACCACTAGACCGTCATACTAGAAAAGAGCTAAAAACTCAGAAGTGTCCTTGCACTGTACGGGCAAAAACTCAGGACAGGAACACCTGTCACCCTCCTCCGAACCAGAAGCTGCAAGCAAAGCTGATCTGAGTTTTAACCGAGCCAAGCCCAGACCAATCTGAACCACGCACGGAGCAGGCTTGCTTGAATGCTCACCACCTCACTCATCATGAATACACCTCAAGCAAAACCAGCCCCACCTCATGCTCTACTGTTCACCCATGGCTGCAACTCACCTGCTCCAGCCGAGTTTATAATACCACCGGTCTGGCCCTCAAACACATTGCCGTACTACAATCTAGCTTGCATTCCGAGACGAGACGAAAACCTTGCAGACTGCCACTTCCTTCAAGTACCCTTGGATTAATTCCTTGAAACTTGGTCGCGCTACCAGATTTGTAACTTCCGTGACCCTATCCCAGCAAAGGTTCGGCGCGACTCAATCATCAGATCATGGCTTCTGCTCCGCCGCTCGTCGTGGATTCCGAATGGGAAAACTTTCTTGAGAATTGCAGCACCGAGGAGCTTTCTTCCTTCTTGGAGAAACTGCGGTCCAACAACAACAATGGAAACCCTCAAGTCGCGTCGCTGCCAGGTAAATGCTCGAAGCCTGATTAGGGTTACATTTCAAAATTGTGAGTTTAGGGTTGAACCGCGTTTGAACCTTCCAAGGTTGTTATTCCTTGTAGCGAGGCGTGCTCTACCATCTTTTTCCTTTAATATCATAGTAACTATCTTCCCTCTTGATCTTCCTCTCAAATATCTCTCGAACTCTCTTTTATTTCCCTCCTTTGTATCCGCGTGTTTGAATCAGCAGTGAACGGCGGTGCGGCGCCATGCAGAAGTCTCGAGACCGACATCATGGCGCTAGCGGCGGCCGGCACGCCGCAAATCACGGCGCAACAGCCGCTGCAGACCACCCCGCCGCTGCAAAGCAATAGAACCACGCCGTTCGGCACCGCGGCCTTCCCCCTGCGCGCCGCCGGCGTCGGAGCCGCGTTCGACGCTCACTCGCTTGCGGCTCGCCACATTGGAGGGCTAGTAGCCACCGGAAACACCTCCGCGTTTAACTCCTCTGCTGACGTCATCTCCAGCAGCAACTTTGGCGAGAGCGCCTTCTCCGAAAGCGGCTGCGTCGGCGGCGGCGGCGGCGGCGGCGGAGGCGAGAAACTCAAGAACGAAATGGAGGATGGGTGGGAGTCCTTCTCACCCCAACCACGCCGGGCCGGGTCCCTGCCTGGCAGTACTAACACCACTACGCCGGCCCTGCCCGCGCCGCCTTTTCTAGCGGGTCAGCCGGCCCAGAGGCTCTTCGGCAGCCCCCCTGCTGTAACCACTGCGTCCAGGCTCGGACCCTCCAAGCTAGGAGTCAAAGCCGGCCCTGCTACAGCCGCTACAGCCGCTGCCGGCGCTGGCAGCGCAGGTGCGAGCCGGCGGAGTGGGTCCAACAGCGGCGACCGGGTGGCACGGGCCTCGGCAGGCGAGGATTCTCCGGCTCGGCAGAGCGGGCGGCAGGGCGACGCTCCTAGCGGCGGCGAGGCGGGCGGGGCGGTGGTGCAGGCTACAGGTTCGGGAGAAGCCGGCGCACACGGCAGGGAGAGCGGCGACAGGCTCGGTGACAGGCACGGGAGCGACGGTGAGAGCTCGGATGCGATGGAGGGAGGCGCTCACATGGACCAGTTTGGCGAAGATCATGCTCCGGGCGGCAACTCTCGGCGGGTGGGCGGCAGCGCAGGGGATTCCGGGCTGGGTGTGAAGGCGGAGAAGCGGCAGATCAAGATGAAGAGCCACGTGGAGAGCCAACGACGCAAGCGAATCAGTGATGGGCTGAAGCGGCTGCGGGACTCGGTGAAGGGCACGGGTGACACTGCTACGATGCTGGACGAGGCAGTGGCTTATGTGGAAGGACTCAAGGTAAATTCACTCTCTTTCACATTCTCTTATGCTACCATGGCTGCTTGGCTTCAAACGCTGTTGCTCTCCTCTGCGTCTGTTGCACTTTCCTGTTGCCTTTTTGTAAGCTGGAGACACTGTTGTACCTGTTTTTGTAATTTCCTGCTCCTTGGCTTCCTGGAACCACTCTAAACACCTCTGTTATCCACTCTCTCTGTCCCTGTGCCCTCATGCAGCAACAAGTGACAGCCCTGCAAGTCTCTCTCCTCCTCAAGGACACAGCCCGCCCCCAGCTTGGTGGTACACCACCATCGATCCTCGGCGCTGACTCAGCACTCCTAGCCCAAGCTCTGCAGCAGCAGCACTCTCTGGGCATGCCTTTCTCCCTGCCAGGGAATCAGCAGCTGCCCCATCAGCACCAGCAACAGCAGCTGCTGCAGCAGCAGCAGCAGCAATCGCTGCAGGCAGGCCCGGGCATGTTCCAGGCTCGGCAGTATCCGAACCTGGGCCGGTACTCGGGTGAGCAAGGGGCGACGGTGTCTGCTAGTGCACCGACCACATTGCTACCCCGTGCTGGATGGTCTAAGCGGCTAGTGGAGACTTCTACGGGGGGCAGCTGCAACTCCCCTAAGTTTGGCTCTTGCTGAGTATTTGTTGGTGTGCTGCTGCCTCCAACTGCTCTGCTGCCACCCGCAACCGCTCTGCAGCTGCCTCCGACCGCTCTGCAGCCGCCTCCGACCGCTCAGCAGCCTCCGACCGCTCAGCAGCCTCCGACCGCTCTGCAGCCGCCTCCGACCGCTCTGTTGCCGCCTCCAACCGCCTGCTGCTGCTTCCAACCGCTCTGCTGCCACCTCCAACCGCCTGCTACCGCCTCCAGAAACTTTGCTGCAGCCTCCAACCGCCTGCTATCGCCTCCACCGCTCTGCTGCCGCCTCCAACTGCCCTTCGTCCACCTCCAACCGCTCTGCTGCCGCTTCCAACCCCTCTGCTGGCGCTTCCAACCGCTCTTCTGCCGCCTCCAACTACTCGGCTGCCGCTGCCGTCTGCTATGCTGCTGCCTCCAACCGCTCGTCTGCCACCTCCAACCGCTCGTCTGCCACCTCCAACTGCTCTGCTGCTTTCTCCAATTGCTCTGCTGGCGCCTGGTTTTGTAGATGTTCCATAACGATGGTAGTTTCTAGGTCATTTATTACAAGAACAAGCAGGTCGCCAGCAGCATTCTTTTGCTTCGTCTTGTACCCTAATTTAAATACAAATAAAGATGAAAGTACCAGTATGTGAAGGAAAATTCCTTTTCAGGGATGTACACGCACTTTCGTAAGGATGACCTCCTTAGAGGGGGGGGGTAGTGTAAGGAAAATTCCTTTTCCTTACTTCGCATCCCTGCTCAACGCGTACATCACTGTAGCACCACAGTCAGCACCGTTACCACTCGCAACCCTCGCATCGACAATCCGCCCGCCACCTTCGCACATCACACCCCGCCCTCACGGCTCGGCGGGTAACCCGCGCTCCGGGCCTCCGTTTCGACACTTTTCCCAACCTCAGTCCTAGGCCCGTCGCGCGACAACCACAGTCACTTACCGTTACCACTGTAGTTTCGCTATATATTCTTCGCTCATGCCTCCGCTCATTGTACTCTTGCTTCGACAGTGCGATTCTCGTTCGTTCACTCAATTGCACTCGTAACACTTGGTATTCAGAGCCTACGATCCCCTCTCGGACCGCACCCACACCTTCGCTTCCCCACTATCTCGATTTTTGGGGGGGGTAGATGTCTCTCAGCGACACAGCACCGCCGCTCGTAGTGCTCTCTCGTAAGCACGCACGGCCACGACCGAGGCTCTCGCTGAGCTCGCCCGACACCCCCGCCATGGCCGAATTCACGCTCGCCACATTGACGCAGGAGCAGCTCGACCATCTGGTGCGCCAACTTGAAGATTCGGCGCTCGAAATTGCGACGCTCACGGCGGAACGTGACTCCGCGCGTCAGCAATCAACGATGAACACTCCAGCGCCACCACACGCACCGACAAATGCATCTGCACAATCAGACGAGCCGATCGTCATCTCGTCCGGCACACCGACACAAAACAACAGCGTGGGACAACGCTCAGGCGCAGCCAGCGATGGCGCCGCCCAGCCGATGCCTGGCATGGGAGGAAACAAGGTCACACCAAGCCCGCGGGAGCCTCGCGAAGCCCGTCGGCACGTGGAGTTCGCGGCGACAAGTGGCGAACAAGCCATTATGGCACCAATGTCACTCAAGCCGCAACGCCCGCCCTGCTTCGACCCGAGCCAGCGTGGAGGTCCGACGGTTCAATCGTGGGTCTTCACGATGAACGTCTTCTTCGACGCGAATTACGTCGAGTCGGACGCAGCGAAGATTCGGTATGCCATTTCGCTGCTAAGGGGCCCCGCCATGGACTGGTGGCGAGTCATCGTGACGTCGCCACGCGCCTACGAGCCACCGTCGCAAGAGGAAGGGCCCACGGGCCCAGCTGTCACCTGGAGTTCATTCTGTGAGACCGCCCAATACAGCACGTGGGATGCGTGGTGCGCAGGGCTTCGGGCGCGCTTCGAGCCGATCGCGGCTTCTATTTCGGCACGTCAGAGATTGCGCACTTGGCGGCAGCTTGGATCGGTTCAAGACTATACGAGTGGTTTTCTCGCATTATGCGAGCAAGTCGGCTACATGCACGAAGCGGAGCGGGTGGACCGTTACGTCGGAGGGCTGAAGCCGGACATCTCGCACGAAATCATGCTACGCGGGCTCTCGAACTTCAACGAGATTCTCGTGCTCGCCGAGAAAATCGACATTTTACGCCGTCCGAGACCGGGGTCCTGCTATGGACATCGTCCTCGGGGACCGATCGAGCACGCCACTGTACACGCTGTTGCGACGAATGCAGCTGCCGCGCCGTTTAAGGGGCGCTGCTTTGCTTGCAACAGGCCGGGCCATCGCAAGAGCGAATGCCCAGAGGAGCTAAGGCGTCGCGGAGCAGAGCAGGTGAGGGAGTCTCCAAAGCAGGGAAACGTCAGCAGTCAGTAGGAATCGGGCCAACTACTGACGAGACTGCCTGCTCGCCCAACCCCATCGACCCTCACCGAGTCACAGTACCGATTCATGCTATCGATCGGACTCGGACGAATAAGGAGGGTACAGCGACGGATTGCCCAGTACTGATCCACGGGAAAATACAGGGAGCAGCAGTGAAGATTTTTATCGACGGAGGAGCAAGCCACAGTTTAGTTAATACCGCAACCGCAACTGCAGCTGACACTTAGCCGTTGCTTACCGGAGATAGACGCACGCTTAGTCGACGGCACGCCACTGGCCATACGGGAAAAGGTAGAGAGAGTCAAAGTCCGCTGCGGGGGAAATTTCGGGTTTACACAGGAAATGCTCGCAACGACACTGGATGGGCACGATATTTTACTGGGACGTGATTGGCTGCGACGGTATAACCCGCGAATTGACTGGATGACGAGTAGCTGCACCGTGCGAAGTAGTGGTAACTGGGTCAAGTTACCTCGCTGGCAGTCGCCCGAGACTTCAACGGTACACGTCAACGCCATCACAATGAAACGGGCTGTCGCTGCTGGAGGTGACGTGTACGCAGTAGACATCACAGTAGTAGAGGAAGCAGAGCAGCTGGGTGATTTCAAGAAGCTGCTGGCAGCCGTACCGCCCGAATTACAGGAACTGTTGAAACGATACCCCGGGATTTTCCCCGATGACTTACCGGAAGGACTGCCACCTCAGCGAGCACATGACCACCGAATCGAATTAGAACCGGGAGCACAGCCAACCGTACAGCGCCAGTTCAGACTGACACAGCCCGAGCTCGACGAACTAAGGAAGCAGTTAGATTACCTGTTAGAGACAAAATTCATCAGACCGAGCTCGTCACCGTTCGCCGCACCGATACTATTCACGCCGAAAAAAGACATGGGTTTTCGCATGTGTATCGACTATAGAGCACTGAACAGGGTAACAGTAAAGTCGCGTGTGAAGATTGGAACGAGAATGATTGCATTGAGCAGCATGAGGAGTACAAGTACCAAACCCTATAGTGTTGTACCCCATATAAGCTACCCCACTACAGCCTACACAGACTATAGCATATGAGTTTGACACACCCCCATAGGCAAAGTGGGGGAGAACAAGGGGTCACAAGACCAGTCAAGCAAAGCACAGCAAGCTCAGGGTGGATCACAACGTCACCACACATTCTGAGCACAAGTTCAAGGGCCACAAGGCCAGTCCACATGCAGGTATATATATATATGAAACTAAACATGCAAGTGCAAGTATATAAAGGTCAGGTACAAGCAAGGTCAAGAAGTGAGCAAGTGAGGCAAGGTAGGCACAAGACCTAACAAAGTACAGAAGCGCTGATGGTCACAAGGCGCGAGTGCCTTGGTGAAGATATCAGCAGTGTTGGCCTCAGAGGCCACGTAAGCAAGGCGCAGCTGACCGCGCTGCTGCAGCTCACGAGCAAGGAAGTAGCGAAGAGCGATGTGTTTCGTTCTGTGCTCCAGTCTGTGCTCCCGACACAAGGCCAGCATGGCCTTGTTGTCTACGTACAGAACTGGAGGAGAACGAGGCGGCTCTCCTAGGTCAGTCAGCAGGTAGGTGAGCCAGCGTAGCTCCTGTGCAGCCATGGCCCCTGCGTAGATCTCAGCCTCACAGCTGGAGCCGAGAACAGAAGACGAGCGGATAGACCACCACGAAACAGAGCCGGAACCAAGGCTGAAGGTGTAACCCTGTGACGACCGCTGCGTAGCCTGGTCGTCAGCCCAAGAAGCGTCTGCGTGACCAGTGAGGACCACTGGACTCCGCCCTCCAAGCACAAGCCCCATGCCCGACGTACTGCACAAGTAGCGCAACACCCTCTTCGCTGCAGCCATGTGCTCTGGTCTGTGTCTCCCAGGAGCAACATAGCGTGCCAGAATGCTAAGAGGGTATGCAAGGTCAGGTCGAGTGCAGGTCATCAGGTACATGAGGCAGCCAACAAGCTCTGGGTACGGGCCACTCGACTCTACGGACTCATCCGAAGGCAGAGCTGAGAGCGAGTGGCGAGTAGGCAGAGGAGTGGCCTGAGGCGAGGAGTACGTGAAGCCGAAGCGCTGAAGGACCTGCTGCACCATGTGTGACTGAGTCAGGGTAATGGTGCGCTGTGCTCTGATACCATGTCAGAATCCCAACCACTAGACCATTGGGATAAAAGGGCTTGTTTAAGTAGCGGGTCAGTGCGCCCATAACCCCCCAAGCCAACGTGCCTGTAACCCTTCCCTAGGATCAATCGGGGATCACCAGTGGACCTCTGACACCCCCCCGCACTGGGATGCCCGAAGTGCATACACCGGGATTCGAACCCGAGACCTTCGCTCTGATACCATGTGAAGATTGGAACGAGAATGATTGCATTGAGCAGCATGAGGAGTACAAGTACCAAACCCTATAGTGTTGTACCCCATATAAGCTACCCCACTACAGCCTACACAGACTATAGCATATGAGTTTGACATCGCGGTACCCCATTCCCCGCGCCGACGAACTGATCGACCAACTGCGAACAGCACGGGTTTTTTCGAAAAATATATTTACGGGGAGGTTACCATCAGATTAGGGTCGAACCATCGGACTGCGCCAAAACAGCTTTCAGGACTAGGTACGGGTCGTTCGAGAACACTGTGATGCCATTCGGGCTGACCAACGCACCGGCGACTTTTCAGATGACCATGAATGAGGCATTTAGGCCGCTCTTAGATAAATGTGTAATAATTTACCTCGACGACATCCTAGTGTACAGTCGGGATAAGCAGCAGCACTTAGCAGATCTGGAAGCAGTGTTTAAGGTTTTAGACGAGCACAGATTACTGACCAAGGGTTCCAAGTGCGAGTTCTTCCAGGATAAGTTAGAATTCTTGGGGCACGTTATTTCGGAGGCTGGAGTTGAAATCGACCCAAAGAAGCTGGATACGGTAAAAGCGTGGCATCCCCCGACAAACATCACGGAGCTGCAGAGCTTTTTAGGGTTCGTTAATTATGTGCGTCGGTTCGTCCCCGATATGGCACGGTTAACTGCCCCACTGACGGATTTACTGCGGAAGGGGGTCGCTTTTACGTGGGGGGAGAAAGAGCATGCTGCCTTCTCTGCCCTGAAAAATGTTCTCTGTTCACCGCCCGTCCTGCGCATCGCCGACCCACACCGCCCATTCGAAGTAGTTACCGACGCAAGCGATATCGCCATCGGAGCCGTACTGCTACAGGATTTCGGCAATGGCCTACAGCCTATCGCATACGAGTCACGAAAACTGCATCCGCCCGAGAAAAATTACCCGATACACGACCGCGAAATGCTTGCGATCGTGCACGTGTTCAAAGCATGGCGCTGTTACTTGACTGGCGCGGACGTGACAGTACGGACAGACCATAAATCACTACAGTACCTTCGCGCACAGCCACACCTCAACCCACGACAGATTCGCTGGCTCGATTTCCTCGAGTCCAACTTTCACTACACTGTCACTTACAAAAAGGGAGCCTCGAACATTGCCGACGCACTGACCCGCCCCACTGCCCAGATCCACGCAATACTACTTGCCCAGACAAGCCCGCTACCAACAGGCCTATTCACCCACGGGTACCAAACGGATCCATTCTTCACAGGGGGAAATTCGCAACAGTTCGCAGCAGCAAAGGGAGTCTATTACGTAAAAACCGGGACTGACCGCATTTGGGTGCCTGGGTATACACTGCTACGGGAATTACTGTTACAGGAGGCACACGAAGGAGTTACCTCGGGGCATTTCGGAGTAGAAAAAACACGGCAGCAGCTGCAGCGGTATTATTACTGGCCCGAAATGTTGACCGACGTACAACGACACGTGGCATCGTGTCCCACTTGTCAGCTCATGAAATCATCACGACAGCGGCCGGCGGGACAGTTGCAGCCGATACCACCCCCAGAGCGTGCTTGGCAGCAGGTGACGATGGACTTCGTCACGGGTTTACCAGCCGGGGCGAGTGGGAACGACGCGATCCTGGTCGTCGTCGATCGACTGACAAAAATGGCACATTTCGCAGCCTGCAAAAAATCAATCACAGCCGAAGAAACAGCACGCCTCTTCATCTCCACCGTCGTTCGACTGCACGGGATACCAGCCGCGATCATCAGCGACCGTGACACGAAATTCACCAGCAACTTCTGGCGGAACCTGTGGCAGCAGTTCGGCACGCGACTGCAGTTCAGTTCATTATACCACCCCGAAACCGACGGACAGATAGAACGGACAAATCAGACCATGGAACAACTCATCAGGGCCACGTGTGACGACCCGACCACGTGGGAACAGCAACTGCCACTAATCGAATTCGCGTACAACAACTCGCCATCGGCCACGACCCAACAGTCACCATTTTACCTAAACTACGGACAAGACCCGACAGTACCCATGACCCCGAACCCCGACAACCCAGTACCACGAGCACAACAGTTCGCCGAAATATTACAAGCGGCACGGACCCGGGCAGCAGACGTAATAAAAAAATCGAACATCATCGCTAAACGCAACGCTGACCGCCACCGCAGACCTGTCACTTACCAGCCCGACGACTTAGTTTTACTTGACACTCAGAACCTCCGACTGCCCATCACCCCGAAACTCCGCCCCCGATACTGCGGGCCATATCGCATAAGCCACATGCTTACACCCGTCACCGCCCACCTCCTCCTCCCTGCTGACTGGTACGTCAGCCCCTCATTCCACGTCAGCCTACTTCGCCCTTACGTCCCGTCCACGAGCCAACTGTCACGCAATCGCCCAGCCAGCATGACAAGACCACCAACTGAACCAATCATCACCCCCGAGAAAATCCTGAGTCACAGAGTTCGCGACCCTCGAGGAGCCCGAAGGATCGTGTTCTTACTCCGCTGGAAGGACCGTACACCTACCGAAGACAATTGGGTTCCCCGGGATAGAATCGAAAACCACCCCGTCCTCACCGAGTATCTGCGCAGCCGAAATTTCAGGGATGTACACGCACTTTCGTAAGGATGACCTCCTTAGGGGGGGGGGTAGTGTAAGGAAAATTCCTTTTCCTTACTTCGCATCCCTGCTCAACGCGTACATCACTGTAGCACCACAGTCAGCACCGTTACCACTCGCAACCCTCGCATCGACAATCCGCCCGCCACCTTCGCACATCACACCCCGACCTCACGGCTCGACGGGTAACCCGCGCTCCGGGCCTCCGTTTCGACACTTTTCCCAACTTCAGTCCTAGGCCCGTCGCGCGACAACCACAGTCCATTACCGTTACCACTGTAGTTTCGCTATATATTCTTCGCTCATGCCTCCGCTCATTGTACTCTTGCTTCGATAGTGCAATTCTCGTTCGTTCACTCAATTGCACTCGTAACTTAGTGATAATACAGTATCCACATAAGCCTCTGGTTGGTTGGTTGGCACACCACACGAAGCTGGTTGGCTGGCTGGCACCTCTTTCCCACGCGTGATGTGGTTCGATTTGAAAAGGGCACCCACGAATGCTCAACAACGGCCAAAAAATGGTCGCTGCAAGGCTGTAGGGGGAAAAGAAAACCGAGTGTCTTCGCGAACCTCGTTTGTGGCGCCAAAAGGCATCGCGAGAAACCAGAGAGAGTTCGTTCAGCTGTTTTGCACCAATCGGTGGCAAGCTTGCGAAATCGTCCTCTGACGTGTTTCAGTTTCCAGATGAAAGTCCTCGCTACAACTCTTAGGTCACGCCCTTCACATCCACCTCAAGAAAACAATTTCCGTGGACCTTCCGCATCCATCTGTGGACGTCACTTTTCCTTCCCTTCCAGTCACCGTTTACTGGCCCCCTGTCCACGTCAACTCTGTCGCCTGACAGGTTCATCAGCTGTAGAAAAGAACTCACCTCACCTCACCTCCGACCTCCACCATCAGCCTCCTCGAGGTTGGTTCATAGGGTTGCCTTGAAAGTAGTTCTAGTTTCAGAATTCAGTTTCGCCTCGCATCCATTTCTAACAGTGAAAAGTTTTAGCTTGGCTAGGTATACGTTTCCCTCAGAGGCGGTTTTACCTTGGGAGTCTGTTCAACCTCTCGTGGCGTTGGTTGCTTTTCAGGTCGTTCCCTTGCACGGACATGGCGCCTCTTTCCAGCGTTGAAAATCGCAGAGCTCCGAACAGCTCGCGCTCCGCAGCGCTGCACATCGAGCCGCGCAGAATGATTGATGCTAATGCCGCTAGGTCCGTAGCTTCCGCAGCCAACGCCTCGCTTTTTTCTGCGACAATGCCCGAAGGCGAAGTGTCAGTGGCGTCACCTCCCCAGATCATCCTACCGAGAGACGTACCCGGGGAGGTGCAAGACGTTACTCTGCGAAGCCATAGTTTCGCATCGGAAGCTTTGCGTGGAAATTTTACGCTGCTAAGTCGTACTTTAGCTGAGGAAGTGACGAGTCCGCCTGCTGAAACTGCAGCCGTCGCAGCCGCCGAAGCAGCGGAGTTTTATCGGCAAATGGCAGCAGACGACAATTGGCGGCGATTAGAGACTCTTTTCATCCTTCTAGTTGCTTTGTCGTCCCTTTATTTCAGCCGAACCGCTGCTGTTTTGGCCACGTCAGCAGTCGTCGTCGCATCCCTGATCATCCAGCATCGCACATCGATTCGACGGAGGACACAGATTTGCACCCGGCATCCGCTCGCGAAGGCAGCCAGAGTTACCAGCTTCGCTTGTGCTCGCGAGCCGCCGGCGAAAGCTCCAGAGTCGTCTGACGCAGCTGTTAAATCGATAGAATTCTCCACGCGGTTTCGGAGGGTGTTTTCATCCCCGTTATTGATGACCTCGGGTCAAGTGAAAAACGGTTGTCTTTCTGTCTCGGACGTTCTTGAAGCAGATAATCGAATCGCCACTGCGAGTTTGGCAGGTTCTGCCGCGGATAGTGCGGCGACGGGCGATAGTAGTGGCATCCCTTTCGTTGCAGATCGAAATCGCAGCAGCAGCAGCGGCAGAAAAATGGTTCGGATGTCGTCTCATCCATGTCTCACCAGGGCTTCGTCCTTCTCCCCTCCACCTCCCATCGCTAGTCGATTCCCCAATGATCCCAGCGCGTTCCGTGATCATGACAGCAACAGCACTACTAGCCCTGTTGGTGACTGGGAGGCGGCCGAGGCGCAATCAGGGCCTAGCGCCGCTTCTGACGCTGTACCAATCGACGACGAGGATTCGCACTATGCGAGCGGAGATCCGTTCTTCTCGAGCCCCTTGCCGCTACCGGAGAGAGTTAGCGCCGGCACTGACTCGCAACAGCAGCACCAGCAGCAGCAGCAGCAGCATGAAAAGCAAGGAGTGAGATGCGACAGCGGCATGGGAAGGAGCGGCGTCCACCTTGGTCACTCCCTCCCGCGCTGCCGATCCGAGGAGGCTCCCTCTCCCTTCGGAAGCTTCCATTTCGCCGTCGGACGCGGCGAGAGTTACGGGCGGAGGCAAGGCGAGTCGCTTGGGTCCCCTAACGGTTTGTTTACGGGGCTCTTAGACGAGGGGTGCGGCGGGATTGGAGTCGGTGCTAGTAGCGAGGCTTACGAGGGGGAGGGTCATCTGAGGGCGGACGTATTTGACAGCACTAGCAGCGGCAGCGGCAGCGCACGCGAGGGAGGCCACGAGGGAGGGCGCGGCGGGGTGGAGCTGATACGCGCGTCAACAGACGGAGTAGTGCAGGCGAGGAGAGCGCGGAAATTTACCATGGCGTTTATGGGTGCTGGTATGTTCCACGGCCGGGGGAAGGTGCGGCGGTCGGGCAGGATTGAAAAAAAAGGTTCGGGCAGGGAGAAAACTTGTGAGTTGGGTGGCAGTGATGGAGAGAGAAAAGGAGGAGGGGGAGGAGGAGGAGAGGAGGGGATGGGCAATGAGGCGGAGGGAATGGGGATGGGAGAGAGTTTGGTTGTTCCATCGAGGGGAAGAGGGGGTAGAGGAATTGGGAGTTTGTTCAGCAGCAGCAAGCGATCGCGGGCTGTAGGATCAACAGGAGCAACGGCCTCTGTAGAAGAAACTCAGACGCGAACAACGGATACACATTCAGCAACAGCAGCGGCGGCGGCGGCAGCGGCGGTTAGGGCGAGGAGCAGGAGGAGATGGTCTGATGGTGGTGGTAGGAGCTGCGATCTCGCTGCTGCCTCTGATGCCCCTGCTGGCGACTCGGCTGGCGCTGCTGCCGTTGGCAGCGCTGTTGCTGCTGCCACTTCTTTGGCTGCCACTGGTGCAGCTACTGGTGCGAGCGGAATAGAGGGAGTGGGCGCAGAGGGACCAGCGCGGCTGGCAGTAGGTCTTTCCATCTCCCTGCATGCTGCATCTGCCACCAGTCCCTCGCCCCTCCCTGCTGGAGAGGCTGCAGGGGGGAAGAGGAGCAAGAAATGGGGCAGGAGGGAGGGGAAAGGCGAACGGGCTGGGGGGGGAGTGGAGATGGGTGGGAGGGAGGGGAGGGGAGGGAGGGGTGCAGGGAGGAGGGAGCGGCGGTGCAAGTGGAGCAGTGACTCTCTGTTTGCGCACCTGGCTTCTGTGGGAGAGATGGAGCGCAGTAGTAGCGTGGAGGAGGAATCGGATGATGCGATGTCGCCTTTCTCACCAAGCTCGTGGGAGCAGAGGCCTATCCTGAGCGGTTCAGCAGGAGTAGCATCGTCGTCATCATCAGCAGCAACATATGGGGGCCATGAATTGCTGGCCCCAATCTTTTCTGGGGAAGTTTTGGACGGAACAACTGCAGCAGCAGCAGCAGAAGCAGCAGAGGCAACCTCCCTAGCAGCAGCAGCATCACCAGGTGATGTCAAATCAACGGCTGAGGACGCGAGATCTGGCAATATTGGGCAGGCTGCAGCACCATCGAGCCGCAGAAACAGATTCGGCCGTCTGGCCTCCCTGCGACCCCTCACCCCACCCCACCACTCATTATCCCTCCCTCACCGTTCACAAGGAGCAGGTCTGGCCAATGACAGACTGACACCTGTACAATGGGCACAGCATGCAAGCAGCCAGCTTGTACAGGGTGGGGCAGGAAGCCAAAGCAGGCACGGAGGTACGGAAGGTTCCGGAGCTATTGGAGGTTTGGCCGCTACCGGAGCTAAGACGGGAGATTTGGCTGGTCGAAGCATGAAAATGCAAAGTCCATTTCGGCCGATCACTCTCCTCCCTCCTGGCTCCTCCTGGCCCCCTATTTCCACCCCCTCATACCCCGCCTCCTCCTCCTCGTCCTCCTCTAAGGACGCTGCTTCTGCTTCTGCTGCCGGTGCTGCTGGTGGTGGTGGTGCTGGCTCGTCTGAAATTGCTGCTCTGCTGCTGCTACTGCTGCTGACGCTTTCGTTTCTGCTGCTGGGGAGGGTGGCTGCTGTGGTTGGCGTCTCATGTGTCTTGCTGTTGGTTGCACGGGTGGATCGAGGGGGGAGAGGGTGGGGGGGAGAGAGCGAAGGAGGGAGTGGGGAGGCAGGGGCTCGGGAGGAAGAAGGGGCGGATGGATGTGGGAGGATTGGGAAGGGAGTGAGGCGGGAGGAGGAAGAGGAGAGGGCGAGGGAGGAGGAGGGGAGGAGGAGGCGGGAGAGGGTGAGGGAGGAGGCGAGGCAGAGGCGGGTGGCGGCGATTCTGCAGCACAGCCGGGTTTCGGACCCACGCATTTTGTCAGTGATGGAGGGGCTTCTGTCTCGGTCAAACACGGGTTTGGAGAGGCGAAGATGAGAGGGGACGGGGGGGGGGAGAGAGTGAAGGATGGAGAAGTTCTTTGCAGCACTGCCGGTGTTTGGACCCACGCACTCTGTCAATGATGGAGGGGCTTCTGTCTCGGTCAAACACCGGTTTGGAGAGGCGAAGATGAAAGAGGGAGAGGTGGGGGGGGAGAGAATGAAGGATGGAGAAGTTCTCTGCAGCACAGCCGGCCGTGTTCCGACCCGCACACACTCTCGGTGATGGAGGGGCTTCTCTCGCGGTCAAACACGGGTTTGGAGAGACCAAGATGAAGAGTTGTCTCAGAAGGAGTCAGCAGCACCGCCGATGCTCCGACCAGTGCACGCTGTCAGTGATGGAGGGGCTGCTCTCTCGGTCAAATGGGGCGTTGGTGAGACGGATGTGAAGCGGGAGGGGGGAATGAAGGATGGTCAAATGGGGCGTTAGAGAGACGGATGTGAAGAGGCAGGAGGGGATGAGGGATGGGCGAGGCAGGGAAGGGGGGGGTGAGCGATGGGAGTGGCAGGGTGGAGGAGGATAGTGGAGGCAGGGGAAGGTGAGAGGTGGGAGACATACCGGTAGGTATTATCTCAGGAGTCCGGATTTTGCAGGCACCGAGCAGTCTTCTTGCTGCCAAGTTAGTAAAGTGGCGGACAAAATTCAGTTGTAGACTCGTGTCCGACAAGAGGTCGCAAGGTTGGTGTCTGGTGGTAAAGAAGCTACCCGTTAACCCAACCCCAACAGGAATAAAATTATTAGTCTTCTAGAGGAGAAAATCAGACCAAATTCAGGGGATTTTATTGTCAGGATACAGAAAAGGGGAGCGTGTTTGTTAGGAATATCTTCAATCGTATATAAGTGTCATACTGTTACGAGTGCAATTGAGTGAACGAACGAGAATTGCACTATCGAAGCAAGAGTACAATGAGCGGAGGCATGAGCGAAGAATAGTATATAGCGAAACTACAGTGGTAACGGTAATGGACTGTGGTTGTCGCGCGACGGGCCTAGGACTGAGGTTGGGAAAAGTGTCGAAGCGGAGGCCCGGAGCGCGGGTTACCCGTCGAACCGTGAGGTCGGGGTGTGATGTGCGAAGGTGGCGGGCGGATTGTCGATGCGAGGGTTGCGAGTGGTAACGGTGCTGACTGTTGTAAGGATTTACAAATCCTTACTGAGGCACTCGTTAGCGAGGCCATCCCAAGGGTCACGCGACGAACCTGACCTTCCTATTTCGTCGCACCGAGCCACTCCCGAGTCGGCCTCCGCTCCAATCGCAACCATCACCGAGCCATCCCATCCCGAACCCCCCGCCTAGCTAGGTTTTCCCCTATTTAGGCCTCGCTACTTCATTGTTTCTTCATTCAGTAATTCGGTAATCAGTTCATTCTCGTTATTCGATATTCTGCGCACTCTGCAAGTTGATTCATAACACCTGGTATCAGAGCTACTTTCCTAGCTCACCCCGCTTTTTAGAGTGTAATACCCCTCGGGGGGGGGGGGGGGACGAGGAAGGATGTCTTGGGGTCTAGGAGTTGCGTAGGCCGGCCAGGAGAACGAGTTAGTTGCTCCTCGCGGCCATAGTTTTACGGGTACTCCTTTGGCACCGCCAGATCCTTGCCTCGAACGGTCGCGATCGACCGTGGCCTCCCTCCCCCCGGGCAACGGACAGCTGCAGCTGTCGCGACATTAAACGTGAGTTTCTATTCCGCTGCGGTTTTAACGACGATTTCGGAATTTTGTGAGGCAGCTGGCGTCAGCGGACCTGCGTCGGCACCTGCACGAAATTTTCGGAAGTCGTCACGATGAGTGGCAGTTGACGACGTTGGACCTGAGTCAACAGTTGCGCGACAACTTCGGAGTCGTCCCATGCGGCAAGTGACAACGGTGGCTCGTCGTCATCTTGCGCGCGTGACTCACGGAGTGTGGCTCGGCAGCTGGCGACAAGGGACGTGCGTCTTTGTGGCGATAATTTCGGAGCTACTGTGGAGAAAAAGTCGGCTGGGGAACTCGCCAGGCGCAAATGGAGTTTTGTGTCCGGAAATGTCGGTGGCGAGGAGAGACGACACTAGACTGCCCGACTTAGCGGGAGTCAACTGCCGTCCCGCCCGACCTGTTAAGTGCGGCGGATTTTACTGCATTGGCGGGCGCGTCATCAGCAATTTTCGGCAGGAGTGCTCGTGGATAGACGGGGCTTCATACCTGCTGACACTTACGGGCTGCAACGGAAAACGCGGTGGCTAAATCGCACTTACGAGGAAGTGGGACGCAGGCGACGAGGGAAATCGGGGCAGGTACACCTCGAATCAACTCGGCGACACTGCGTGCCTGGTGTTGTTGCAAGCTGGCCGGCAGTATCGAGAGCGGTTTCTCCTGACCATGGAATTCGTTTTCGGGGACAGCTGCTGACAACCCACGATTAAACGGTGTCCAAGGTACCGCCCGACAATTTCGGAGGGGTCGGTACAGGCTGCCGGGACACACGGGCAGAAACGGTCCAACGGCTAAGCGAGGGTTGAAGAACGTCGTGGGGGCAGATTAAAAGCCGGAGGAATCGATCTGCGGCCCTACTTCGCAAGAACCTCACCATCCCCACCAAGTCTTAGTTCTGACTCATGCAGTCACTGACTTGGCCGAATAACGGGGGTGAACACGTGCCTACCCTGTGCTGGTTAAAGGCACATGGATTGGTGCTCGTTCGACAGCTGTACAGAAAATACAAAAAAAAGTGGAGTTCGCGGCACTGTTCTACTCCGACAAAAGCGGGCTGGGTGAACGGCACGCGAAAAAGTCGGGGAGCTGCGAGGATAACATCGGTGCAGTTTACAGGTTTCTCCTGACCCGGGCGTCTACACACGAGATGACGGCGCAGCGGCGAAGCTGAGACCGGGAAGCTGTGAAATTTTAGTGGCGTGATAGGCACGGCGGGCTGCAAAACGGTTGGGCGATAGTTTCCTTTTAACTAGGGCTACCCCGACTCCGATAGTTTTTGCCTCTCCACCGGGGCCGAGTTCGCGCGGGCAACAACGACGATACCTCATCCGACAAAAGCGGACGCTGGGTGAACGGCGGGAAGCGGAATTATCGGGGGGTGAATACGAAAAAAATGACGACGGAGGGAAAGTTGTGGGTGATCCAGCAGATCACTTGAGTGAGAGGTTGAGCCCGTGCACCAATCCACCGCGAATTTCGGAGTCTATTCGGTAGACCCCCGAAAGGGTTTGATATTGTTACATGGAGGCGCGGCGAGCAGTTCATTGCCAATGATTCCTGGGATTCGCTAAGTGGTTTCGACGGGTATGAAGATGGGTGAACATCGGAGAACAGGGTCAACGGCGGAAACGTCGGGGCTACACGGCGGAGAATAACTTCGGGACTGCTGCCTCAACCATGATTTTCGGGTGACTTTTCCTACAACAAAAAATGACGACGAGTTGAAGCTGAGGGTGTTTCTTCGCTTCTTGGAGTGCGGTTGAGCCGTTGGGGGACTTCGCCTGAAGGGTCACTTTTAAGTCGCCTGGCAAGAAAAACAGCGGCGGGGATACCTAGAGCCCACTGGTGTTTAAACGTACACCGCGGGAAATTCTTCAGTAAAAGGGAGCGTGGGAGCAGCCGAAGTTTTCGGATTTACCTACCGGCGACGAGCGTTGGGTGAAACATCTGCAAAGCGCCAGTGGGAGTTTTGCGTGGTTTTCAGTTAAACTTCATCGGCGGGAGCAGTTTCGACGACGGGGTCAACGGCGTTGATGCCACTAGGTTCCGTGAAATTCGGTCTCGGAAGACCCAGGGCAGTCCCCGGTTCTCGATTGAACCCACACGCTGGGGTCGGGTAACCGACGGAAACTGCTGGTGACCGAGTGGGCGGCTATAATACGACCGAAGATTTCGGAGGTGGGCTGCACCTGCAACTGCGGATTTACGAACCTACTTTTCGAGCGACAATTTCGGAGTTTCCAGTGGACTTACCGATTTTACGGCGAGGAGCGCCGACAATTTCGGAGGAGTTGCGGCATTTGGTTAAACAAGAGCGACATTTACGTCGGGCAACACCGCGAGGACTACATGGATTTTCTCAGGGGTACGAACGACTTACGACGAACTGAAGACGGCAGCAGCAACAGTGACGGGGGGGAGAGACAGCTGCAAAATTTCATCCCTGCCCACGAACTCTCGGCGGACTACGACAAAACTCTCGGAGAATCCATCCCAACTCTGCTTCTGACAACTCGCCTTCGACCCGCCCACGACAACTGCATTAATTCTCAACCACGTCAGGTGCTGCCAACTGCAATTGCTGAAGATATCGCCTGATTTTCCGGCGATGTGAAGACAAAACAAGTCCATTTCGAGCAACGTGGATTTTCCGTCGCGGTTTCTGGTCTACTTCCGCTGGTTCGCCCATGAGGAATTTTGGGGCACATACACCTGGTGTCGTCATCGAGTTTCCACACCGACACGTTTTCACCTTGTCCCCTACGCTCAACGCTCGTTTTCAGTGGGACTTCACACCTGGTTCTGTTGGGTTTTACTTCGGCGCAGCTTTGAAGATTCTGTGGACAGCTTTCTTGGAGGGGGGGAGAAAGTGCGCTGCACTGTTCTTTCCTTGGCGTTTTTCTTGGTCCTTTCTGAGTTTGTCAGGTTGCGTCAGCACGACGGACGATCGCGATCACACCGACACGATCAACGGTCCCTGCTCAATCGCGTTTGAATTCGCGTCAGCAGGTTCCCTCTCTTTTCGCGTCAGTCTTCGACCGTCAGATCTACACCTGCTCGATCTACGGCCCACATTCCAACTTCTATTTCATTTTGGGCCAGTTCATCTTCGACCGTCAGATCGAAATCGGACTTCATCAACGGCCTATATTCCAACCTTTTCAAAAATATTCTCAAAGACATTTCGGCCGTCGGATTCAGCTGAAGAGGAGATCTACGGAATCCTCGCTAGTGTGGGGCCTGT